AGCACAATCGCCTCACAGCAAGAAGGTTGTTGGTTTGAGCACCAGCTGGGTCACTTTGCATCTCTGTGTGAAGCTTGCATGTTCGCCCAGTGTTCGCGTGAGTTTCCTCCGGGTGCTCCAGTTTCCCCCACAGTCCATAGACATGCGCATTAGGTCAACTGAACAAGCTAAATCGGCTGTAGTGTGTGTGAGTGTGAAACAGTGTGTATGGGTGTTTCCCTGTGTTAGGTTGCAGCTAGAAGGTCATCCACTGTGTAAAACATATGCTAGATAAGTTGGCGGTTCATTCGGCTGTGGCGACCCCTGATTATGAAAGGGACTAAGCCAAAAAGAAAATGAATGAATTAAAAATCTAACCCTTTAAGTCTGAATGAGTGGAAAGTGAAGTAATAAGGGTTTCTGAAATCAATATTCTTTAGACACATGCTAGTGTAATTCACAGGGTGAAGTAAGTTAAATTTTTAAATCAGAAGATTTTTTTTAACTTTGCATATAATGTATGCACAATCTGCATATGCACTTGTTTTGAGCCACTTAGATTGTCAATGAGGTGTTAAACTGAACCAGAACATTGATTTACAGCCGGAAAAGAAACAGAGATGACTAAACCAGACTAGAAACACATATAACTATAAGATTAAAATATATAACTCTGTCAGGGTTCAGGAAGGATGAGGGAGCGAGGACTCAAGTGCAAACAGGATGATTTATTGATAATAAAAATAAAACAAAATTAGAACAAAAACCACCCCGAGGGGGAAAAACATAACTATAAAACAAACACTCAAACAAACTTGGATGGGCTGGCAGGACAAACAGGACTGGATAGCACACGACATGGAAATAACGACGACGAACAGGCAAATGACTGAAAACATGAGGGGGATTATAAAGCAAAAAGTAAATTGACACACAGGTGAACATGACAAACTAATAATGAGTAAACAAGGAGGGTGGGACTAGACAATAGACGGGAGAGCGCATGACACAGAGAGACAATACAAGCCATGCGCTCACATAACGCAACACTGAAGCACACGACAAAAGCACGTGACCACAATGTAAACACCAAGCCACGTGCTTTGACAAGAGACGCAAGACACGAGCACACGATAGATAAATACCTTACCGTGCGCTCACACATAAGCAACGCGCATGCTTCATCTCAGCGCCAACCAAAACTGAAACCAACTAGACGGAGGCGCCGAGAATAAAGCAGCGCGCTGCTGACAGAACAAACACAAACACTAGTACAAGAGCGCGCGCGTCTGAGGGACGCAGAGCGTGCGCGGCCACATCAAGTGGCAGCGCGCACACTCTGCGTACACCCACGACGGCGCGCGCGCGCACACAGAGACAGAAACAGGACCAGACGTGGAGTAGTGTCAGAGCTCTGCCACCAAAACAAGAATTTACAAGACCAAAGTGGCAGAACCCTGACACTAGCCCCCCCCAAAAGGGAGGCCACCTGGCGTCCCTAAAGGGAACATCCAACAAGGTACAAGACAGACAAGAAACACTACAAGACAACAAAACTGGCAACATCAACAGACACAAGACAGGGAGGTGAACAGGCAAGACGACATGAAGGGGGGGAGGGAGGGAAGCCAAGCCAGACCCAAAACGACAAACAAGGGAGGGATGGGAGGGCAAGACAAGGGAGGATCAGTCCAGGGTGGGACCGGAGGAACTGTCCAGGGTGGGTCCAGCGGGTCAGGAGCCCCAGCAGGGAACCAGGGTGGAGCCGGTGGGTCCGTCCAGGGTGGAGGAAAGGAACACCAGGGAGGAGCAGGAGGGACGACCCAGGGAGGGTCTATGAGGGTAAACAAGACCAGAGGTCTGTGGGGGGCCGGCTGGGATGAAGGCCTGTGGGGAGCCGGCTGGTCTAGAGGCGACTTAACTAAAGCCGGCGGGGCTGAAGACCCGAGGGGAGCCGGCGGGGCTGAAGACCCGAGGGGAGCCGGCGGGGCTGAAGACCCGAGGGGAGCCGGCGGGGCTGAAGACCCGAGGGGAGCCGGCGGGGCTGAAGACCCGAGGGGAGCCGGCGGGGCTGAAGACCCGAGGGGAGCCGGCGGGGCTGAAGACCCGAAGGGAGCCGGCGGGGCTGAAGACCCGAGGGGAGCCGGCGGGGCTGAAGACCCGAGGGGAGCCGGCGGGGCTGAAGACCCGAGGGGAGCCGGCGGGGCTGAAGACCAGAGGGGAGCCGGCGGGGCTGGGAGCCGGGCTGGGGCCGGCTGGGCAAGACGTCTGGGGTGCGCCGGCAGGGCAAGGAGCCGGGCTGGGGCTGGCAGGGCAAGACGTCTGGTAGGTTCCGGCAGGGCAAGGAGCCGGGCTGGGACCGGCAGGGCTAGACGTCTGGTAGGTTCCGGCAGGGCAAGGAGCCGGTCTGGGGCCGGCAGGGCTAGACGTCTGGTAGGTGCCGGCAGGGCAAGACGTCTGGTAGGTGCCGGCAGGGCAAGACGTCTGGTAGGTGCCGGCAGGGCAAGACGTCTGGTAGGTGCCGGCAGGGCAAGGAGCCGGACTGGGACCGGCACTGAGCTGCGCTCTGGGGCTGGAGCCGACACTGGAGGGCGCTCTGGGGCTGGAGCCGACACTGGAGGGCGCTCTGGGGCTGGAGCCGACACTGGAGGGCGCTCTGGGGCTGGAGCCGACACTGGAGGGCGCTCTGGGGCTGGAGCCGACACTGGAGGGCGCTCTGGGGCTGGAGCCGACACTGGAGGGCGCTCTGGGGCTGGAGCCGACACTGGAGGGCGCTCTGGGGCTGGAGCCGACACTGGAGGGCGCTCTGGGGCTGGAGCCGACACTGGAGGGCGCTCTGGGGCTGGAGCCGACACTGGAGGGCGCTCTGGGGCTGATGCAGCAGTTTGGGCAGCCCTCTTTCTCTGCAGCCTCCGTTTACTCGACCGAGTCAGAGGGAGGTCATGAGCTGCACTCGTAGAGGAAGGAAGGGTGGAGTACTTGCCACAATCAGCTGGAGGAGGTGTGAGGATCTGCCAATCCTTACGGTGGTGGAGATAAAGTGAAAAGCCCCAGAAGTCCAACACCCCAAGCTGATCCATCTCCCACTGTGGCAGGGGTTCATCGAGACAGAGATTAAAAGCTTCCTTCAGAGTGGTGTCATCAAACTCAAGCCCCCTAGCATAAGTCCAAAAAAACTGGGCAAAGCTTTTTACCTCCAGACCTTGCTGGCGGGCCGACACCAGCCCCTGAAGGCGCCTCTGTCTCTCCTCTGCTGTGGTGGGTGGAAGGATAATTATGCTCATCCTGTTGCTGAGTCCTCTGTTTGGCCTGTTCGTACTGTCAGGGTTCAGGAAGGATGAGGGAGCGAGGACTCAAGTGCAAACAGGATGATTTATTGATAATAAAAATAAAACAAAATTAGAACAAAAACCACCCCGAGGGGGAAAAACATAACTATAAAACAAACACTCAAACAAACTTGGATGGGCTGGCAGGACAAACAGGACTGGATAGCACACGACATGGAAATAACGACGACGAACAGGCAAATGACTGAAAACATGAGGGGGATTATAAAGCAAAAAGTAAATTGACACACAGGTGAACATGACAAACTAATAATGAGTAAACAAGGAGGGTGGGACTAGACAATAGACGGGAGAGCGCATGACACAGAGAGACAATACAAGCCATGCGCTCACATAACGCAACACTGAAGCACACGACAAAAGCACGTGACCACAATGTAAACACCAAGCCACGTGCTTTGACAAGAGACGCAAGACACGAGCACACGATAGATAAATACCTTACCGTGCGCTCACACATAAGCAACGCGCATGCTTCATCTCAGCGCCAACCAAAACTGAAACCAACTAGACGGAGGCGCCGAGAATAAAGCAGCGCGCTGCTGACAGAACAAACACAAACACTAGTACAAGAGCGCGCGCGTCTGAGGGACGCAGAGCGTGCGCGGCCACATCAAGTGGCAGCGCGCACACTCTGCGTACACCCACGACGGCGCGCGCGCGCACACAGAGACAGAAACAGGACCAGACGTGGAGTAGTGTCAGAGCTCTGCCACCAAAACAAGAATTTACAAGACCAAAGTGGCAGAACCCTGACATAACTCTATTTTAAATTAGCACAACTCTAGTTTTATCCCTTGAAGTCCACGTGAAATTGAAATTTACAATGTATATTTTGTTAGCACACATTCTTATTCTTTAGGTGAACAATAAATCTGTGCAAGATAATCGACTAAAACAATTTTGTTTTGGTAATCTTCAAAGTCTAAACATTTGCTTCCACATTTAAAGTGGCATTCATTTTCTGTTGATTGTAGCTATTCATAACCAAGCCCCTATTACCGTTAGTTTACGAAGAGAGAATAATGAGTAAAAAGAAAACCCTGACCCCTACTCAACAATCCATCTTAGTCGGAAGTACAGTGACTTCCTGACATAGAAGTCTTAGCAACTTCTGGTTCACTCTGACTTAAAACTTTTAAAAAGCAGATACTGGACAAGGATTAATCTTTCTAATGTGCACGGGTTTCCTCATGCAAGCATGTAACATGCCAACACCCTATTTTAATTCATTATTATAACAAAGGCAGTCACACTTTAATAACAAATGACACCCACAAGACAATCCACCAATCAACACATCTCAAAATTATTAGCTAAATGAGTTGGCTTTTGAATCAGACACCATCACTGAATCATTACTTATTCTCCTGGTCATGAACCGACAGTCATTTTTTGATTATGTCATTTCAATATTAACAAATGTAAATTTATTATCATGTATATACAGTGCATCATTTGAGACCTACATCATCATATTTACCAACAAGATAATCATATGATCATAAATGATTCATCTTCGCAGCAAAGCTTTGTTGAAACAAATAAAAGAACAAAAATGGTGATGTAAAGAAAGCAAGCATGAAAATCCTGAATCTCATTTTGAAACAGATGGCTCCCATAATATTTTGATTGAGATTCATTTTGATTCTGAAAAAAAAATCTCCTCACCTTAAAGTCATAAGTGTAGTTGGTGTAGGGCATGAGATTCCCCTCATAGGCACTCTTCAGCTGGAAACTGTGTGTGATACTGCCATCAGGCTTGCCGTTTTTGCCATTGCAACTGAAGTTAGTTAAACAGTCGCTGTAGCGCAGTTCTTTAAAGTCTTTGTGATTTTCTGCAACTCCGCCATTGCTCAAATACTCCACCACACCTGCAAGACAGAGGTCAGGAAAACGAGTGATTCTGAGACAAGAGCTTCTAATCTGAAGCAAAAAATAAAATTGGCTATTTTTTGACATTCAAAAGATAGTTCACCACCAAATTAACATTACAAAGCTATAGGTAGTTTTCTGCAACATATTTATAACATGTATGACATGTTATTTTCTATTTTTCAATTTAATGGAAGTCAAAAATTTGGTTATCAACATTCTTTAAAATATCTTCTTTTATGTTCTTGCAGAAGAAGGAAACTTAAAAAATGTGAACATGTCAGTAAGATTTTTGGGTGAATTATTACTTTAATTTGGTAGCAGGCGAATTCAGTTAGCTTTGTTTATTTGATCCAATTGTAAGGAACAAAAAGGCTTATCAACAGCCACCCACTCTGTAAGTGCAATTTTATGGCTTGCTGAAATATATTAATGTCTTAGATTAGTCTTAACAAAAACTGTAAACAGTAAAGAGACAAATTTACTAACAGCTTGCTTCAATGCTAACTGTCTTTTTAGTTTTACCAAACACACGCAGCAGAGAGGAATAGCTCTGAAAAGGCACTGGCACAGTTACTTTTTTTTTTTTTAATATACATTTGTAAGAGTTTCTCAATTAGACACAAAATTTATAGGATGAAAGTGTTAAAATGTATAGCGCATTGCAATTTAACAAAATTTGTGCTTCTCACATTAGATATTTGCGTCATTATTTAATGACTAAAAATATAAATATCACACTTGAAATGGCTACAGTTGTTGTTACTAGGAGAAGACAATACAGGGAACACAGAGCGCATGGTATAAGACTTTTTTTACCCCACACATATTTATTTTGGAATGCCAAAGGATTACAATCGCTCAAATATACTGTTTGCCAAATATGCTATTTTGAATTTGTTTTAAGAAATAAGAGACTACTGGGAAGTAACATCTGAGTCACACAATACCAGCATGATCATGGTTCCCTAAGACAGTGTGCAATGTGTTCTCTTTGTGCCTGAAAAGCATGCATCAGATATACTGTAGCTTGTTGTAAGTAAAAATAAAAAAGTGCCTTGTGGTCACTCACATTCCTGTCTATTTTGTGAGCATGTCCATTCTTTGGCCAGTAAATAAATATGCCTAAATAAAGCCTAAATCTATACTTATGTTATAGATTTTGTTAGGGCTCCCAGATATGTCTAATTCCCACTTGACCCTGAAGAGCAGGGGTGTCCACACTGTCCTGGAGGGCCAGTGTCCTAGAGAGTTTAGCTCCAACCCTAAGTACACACACTTGAACCAGCTAATCAAGCTCTTACTTGGAGCAAGTTGGAGCAAACTATGCAGGACACCGGCCTTCCAGGACCTAGTTTGGACACCCCTGCTATAGAGAAAAAAAATGTTGTGTCTTGTTATAGTAAATTAGTAAATAACCACACCTTTATCAGCATTGGCGGATATTTGGCACAAGGAAATTTGCCACTATTCTAATTTGCACTGTCAATATGTAAATGAAATGTTATGTCTTTGTTCTATAATTGTAGATTCGGTGCTGTTTTGCAATAATGCTCTTGCGCAAAATTGCCCTACTTGGTAAATCTGGCCCAAACATTCCAATTTATTTTCAACGTGCACCTTTAAATATGACTTACCAGAATCTGGGAGGGAGTTGAGATCAGCACACAGGACGATAGGGATAGAGCTCGTTTCTGATGTGGGTGAAGAAGAGTTGATAGATCCCGAGGCCCTCTCAGCGATGCTCTTGAGCTCAGACAGAAACATCATAGTCTGGATGAGCTTCACATCCGAGTATTCTGGATCCCAGTGCATGTGGGCATTAGCTACAAGCAGGAGCTGTTTCTCTGGAGGTGGCTTTAAGCCTGCAGTACAGTGCCAGGAAAGAAAATGGGATGAGAATATTCTAATAAATAGTATTAAGATATATATACTAGGAGTTGTTGAAATCTTGAATTTGATTGGCTGACGAACAATCTAAGTCTGGGCTTCTCAAAGTTTGGACTCTTTTCGATTTTATATTCAAGAGCACTCTTATGTGTAAGTGAACGAAAGTGTGAATTTCATAGACCTCTGAGCTTTTGGCCACTCCAGAAGCACTTCAAAATAAATGACCATACCCAGAACTAGCGCTTGATATTAATCAAGAATTACACCCTATTTTTTTTTCAAATAGTTTTTTAAGTAATAAATAACCTTTCTTTTGTTTGTTTGTTTGTTTGTTTGTTATTTATTTTTGTTGTTTTGTGTTTTCTCTACTCAGTGCACTTGGATGGTATCTCTTACCAATGTAATATATTTAAATATTGAATATTTTTTTTCTTACTTTATTTGACCTTTGCCACTGAGTGTCTCAACTGTTTTGCTTTTATAAATTGATATTGTATTTTAAAACCAATAAACAAATAATAATAATAATAATACAGAAAGTGTGCATTTACTTCTTTAATAAACACGTGCTAAACATGTAATCTTGTTTTTTGGCGATGGTCTATAGTGAAAGCGAACTGATGTGGCGCTGTTTTTCAATGTATGATGTTTACCGTAATTGAGAGACACTCTTCAACACAGTGAGCGTTTGAATGGTAAGGATGCCAGTTTTCAGAAAAGAAAAGTCGACAAAAAAACTTTGAGTTTTTAAAGACGATTCATTGGACAGAGAGGTATGCGTTGATTTTGCTCCAATCCAGCACAAAACTGTTCTCTTTAATTAGTAATGATATATTTGAAGTTGTAAAGAGTGAAAATGTCAAACGGCACTATGAAAGGTTTAGCAGCAGCTGGAATACAGGCAGAGTTATGTCTCACACTGCATTGTATTTTGCACCATGCTACTTTTGAGCTATACCTCAGGTTGTGTATTGTTCATAAAAATTGCTGACAATTAAATTAAGTTTCAGTTCTCATCTTGCCACTTTTGCACTTGTTATAATAGTATATTTAAATGCAGACTTTTAAAAGGTTAATTAATGTATATGCATGTTTATTTAAAACAAGTTCTGAGCTAACAATTTTTTAAAGACATTTTTGTCATCGATGAAAATTCAGATTCGGGACTTTGAGAACCCCTGCTCTAAGGTGTGTAATTACTTTGGGCAATCCACAGCTACAGTTCCAGGCTGGTATTGACAGCATCCTAGTTCCATATCACTATGGTAGAAAACCTGATGTCTTGAAATACAGAATGAAGCAGAATGAGTTCTGTAATTTTGTAATATTTGAATAAGATTTTTTATTATTAAGGTCATTGCTCCTAATTCTGAGGAAGGCAAGAGCTGAAATTGAAAACAGGAAACTCCGTTTTCAAAAAGCAATCTATATTGCATTCTTTTGATTACACAAAATATTGTATATTTATTCCACAGAAAAATAGATGAATATGCTGAAAAAGCTTAAATAAAGCAGAACTAGGGAGTTATCTGAACAACTGCTGACAAATGAACACATTTAAAGACCTGAAGGCAGTTCAAAAGTTGAAATACATCCAATCAACCAAAAGTATGCAAACTGAAGAATTGTTTACTTGGGTTTCCAAGTCTTCAATTTATATTCTTTTGTGTTCAACAAACAAACAAAGAAAATCATAAAGCTTTGGATTCACCCAAGGGTAAGTAAATGCTGAAGAAATGTAACTTTTTGTGGAAACCATCCCTTCAACTTGATACACATAAGTAGAAATAAATACTATTTATTAGATACATTGCAAGTGTGCAAATGCTACAAAATGTTTAATAATTTGTTGACTCCAAATTAATTCTACTATGTCTTAATGCACTGTGTTGCTTTTTGTGATCTTAAATTCATTTTCAGGGACAACAGTTATTGATGTCATCCCATGTAAACAGTTTAAACTTTGTGATCTGCTTCCACCTACAGGCTAAACATCAGCATTCAGCAGCCTGTGGTGGACATTCAACCCGACCAACATCCAAAGCTGAAATACATTATTGTACATATTTAAATACCATTTTGTCCTAAATTAAGCTTAAAGTCATTTTGGTGTGGACATGACTAACAAATAGAAACGTGATAAAATGTGCCGTGGTGGCCATGTACCATTTTATTAATCAAAGAATACCATTCTTTCCTTGGCCTCTAGTTTAAGTGTTAGGAAAATTGCTCAGTCTATTTTATGTGCATGTTTTCATCTGAAAGTTCATTTTTAGAGTCCTCATCTGTAAGGGGGCTATGAGATGTGTCCTGCTAGATGTTAAACAGACATTTATAAACTAAATAATAAGAATATTATAATATTTATATAAATAGTAATTTTTCTTTTTCGAGCAAAAGCATAATTTATTGTATTCTTACAGCCTTTTTAAATGTTTATTTATGACAAGTTCAACAACATTGCTCAAAATATTTTAGGCCAACTAGTCTACCCAATGTTGGCTAGAGCATAATCATTTCTTAATTTCTGCAGGAATTTTACCAGGAGTTCACTTTATGCAGCATTTAGATTAGGCTATAATTTTCTGTTAGGTTAAATTTGCGTTTCATTCACTGCTAAATTTTAAAGTGAAAATATTACTGCCTTTATTGTCAGGTATTTACAATAGCATATTTAAAATAAAAATTAAAAATAAATAAAACATATAGCCTCATAAGCCTATTTTGTAGGTGAAAAGTAGCCTATGTTACAATAAATAAATAAAATAAATATATATGTATATATATTGCCCATAATCAATTATAATAATTATAATGATACAAATATTACGCAAAAAAACAATCATTTAATGAATTTACAAAATTAAGGTATGAATTCAAATATTTTATTGTGTGCATTTTGTTATTTTAGCATTTATTAATGCTTCATTCCAATGTTGTCTGAGTGACATCACACTATGTATTGTAAGCTTTATCGGACATTATGCATATACATCCTAAAAAAAGTCTTCTTTTATCATTCTTGATTCTAAATTAGATATATGTTTATTAATTCAATCCATTTGCTATAGTTACTTTATGAGGTTTGGAACTAGAATTCACTATTATGAAACATCTGAATAAGATCTTTCATTATTAAGGTCACTGCTCCTAATTCTGAGTAAAGCAAAAGCTGAGTTTAAAAACAGGAACTCAATCTATATCGCAATCTTTTTGATGACACAAAAAATGTACAATTATTTCTCATAAAATTAGTTATGCTGAAAAAGAAGAAATAAAGCAGAATTGGGGTGTATCTGAATGACTTACAAGTGAACTTAAATGATCATTGGAAGACCAGACAGCAATTCAAAGGACTATAAAATACATTATAATAATTAAAAGTAATTCATATCAAAGTCATTTTTATTCTGCAATTGTATATTCAGGCATAACAAAAAGAAAATGTAAACAATTATCACTAAAATCAAACCCACAGCCCTGAATTTAATCAAATTATCTAATAATTATGTTTCAATGATTATACAATTTTGACAGCTACAAAGATTATTTAATTTAATCACAGCTTTGTCTTTAAAAAAATGTCTACTGATGTTTCAATATTCAGGTATTCAAAGGGTTTTAAGCTGTAAACTCATAGCATAAAAAAAGGATAATTTTCTTATCATATGATCTCAAGGCCAAAAGAAATTATCAGACTTATAAGAGGTAGCCATGACAAAGCTAAAAAAAGCTATATCAAATATATAAATATAATATTATAATAAAGCATATAATCCATTGTATTTAGACCATGAGAGTGCTGTAAAAGGCTTGTGTTTCGGGAAAAAAATGTAATTGGGGGTCGGATGATGTATTCTCGATATAGGCATGACTTCTGACATCAAATATGAATGTAGACGGGGTCCTAAAAATGTTTAATCCTGTCTGATTTTCTTGATTTTATTATATTTTAAAGTAAGCTGAAAACCGGTAACTATTGGCTTCCATAATTGCAAACAGTAAGTTAATGTTTACAGGTTTCTAGGTTTTTCTTTAAAATATCTTCCACTGTGGTTAACATTTGAAAGAAACTCAAACAGGTTTGGAACAAGTGAAGGGTGAGTAAACGATGACAAAATATTCATTATGGATGAACTATGCCCTTTAAGTAATAATTCAGGATTCTTACCAGCAGCAAACAGGTCTTTCTTCACCTCCAGCAGGACGGCTACTCCGATGTTATCTTTGGTCATAACTCTGTTTAGCATAACCTCCGAGCCCTCTGAGTTCGCCATGGCTACTTGATTGAACTCCACTGTGTGTTTCTGCACCAGAGCAAATCTGAAAAAAAAAATAGGCAAGATAAGCTTTTATGAATGTTTTTAGGCAATAATCATACTTCTTTGGGTAACCCGGTACAACTTTTTTCCTAATTCTGGCTCTATCTTATGCAACTAAGCGCTGAAATCCTTGTTAGGAGCATTTCCCCAGGAAATAATGTGTGTGACTGGTGTGAGCCCAAGAGCATTCCATCTGGCGTCATCACCTCACTACGATAACAGCTTTTAAGGCATCCCGAGATTTGAAAAAGTCAGGGTTTTCAAGCAAATCTTTTCTGCTATACCTTCCCACAGTATGTAGAAGTTTTTTTTTACGTTTTTTGTTGCTCTTGTTTTTTTTAGGACAACAGTATCTTCAGCAGAAAATATATCCAAATATGCCATTTTAAATTGTAAAGAAATCTGTGTTTTTAAAACTCATGAAGACAGCAGAAGTCCATAATTCATTTTAATTATTTAACCTGACATGCTTGCTGCTCCAAAATATAAAAAATGTTTTGAAAAAAAATAATAAAGGGGAAAATTTTTTCGCTTTTCTACCCAGATATTTAAAAAGAATATATTTTAGAGCAGTAATCACTATAACATGAAACTGATATTTTTATCCAAGGTTATCATACCGTCAGAATCTTAAACCGGCCCATGCCTATTTAGAACAGGTCAATTTAATCATTTCCACGGCAGCAGGTCTGGTATATGACATGACAGAGCCCCATTCACTGTAAGGCATATTAGAGCTGCTGAATTTACTAGTATACGTCAAACAATGTCTGCTAAACTTCATGAAAGTAAGTGGCTGTTTATGTAGGAGAAAATAGAGAGAATGAGCTAGTTGTCCAAACAGTGTGTATCCGTTGTGAATGACAGTGTAAGTATGTGTAAAATAATTACTGTTGCTGCATTCTATAGACATCGTGTGCATTTTACGAAGCATTTTTTAAGTTAGTAAACCTGTGTATGAAAACGTCTGCAACCTAATGCAGAGTTCAGACTGTGTGATTTTGACTCGCCCACATGTTTTGGTAAATCAGCGACAAAAGCCTGAAATCACAGGCAAATCTGTGCTCGTTCACGCGAGTAACAATCACACAATGTGAACTATCAAAGACGTGATCTGAGAGAATCGAGATGAGTTGCCAACACTCATGAGATGTTTGGCATGCCAAATATCTGAACCTGTTTGCGATTTAAAGTGATGCATTGTGCAATGTGTTCTGATTGAAAATAACATCATTGATTACCTACAGCCACGAGAGAGCAGCATCCACTAGTATGCCAGCAGGTTGGGGGAGAAGTTAAAAGTGCTTATTTTTGGTCTATGTGGAACCAATGAAGGAAAAACTAGTAGAAATTTGGCAGCAGCATCTGTGTCCTTTTGACCTGACATCTGAGCAATACCACAACTGTGTCGAAAAAGAAAAAAAAGGGAAATTGCTAATTCCCTTCAAAAGCCAAGCTAACATTTTCACCCCGCTATTGGCTTCTTTCACATTATGTAGTTAACAACAAAATATATACTATGTGACCTCGCATTATTTCAATGTCATTTCTCACATGTTTGGTTGTAAGAGGTAGTTTGCAGACCAAGATAAAGTTGTTATGCAGTGTGAAACCCCTTGTCGCCGATTCATCCTGCAGTGTAAATACAGCACCGACAGAATGCTCCCACAGATAGTCATGCAGTGTGAAAACATGTGTGATGCCACTACTTTGAAAATTGTGCAGTCTGAACTTGGCATAAGTAAACGTTTTAATCTTTGACAAGCGCTGCACTTGTGCTTCTCTCCCTGGCTCAACTCCAGCCATTGCTAGGGCTGATTTCTCATTTTGTCTGTGAAGCTGCCACGCTTGCACACTTTAAACTCCATCCACGGCACAACACTCATTTTCTTCCAGAGAGAATCGGAAAGCTGTAACTTTGACCTAAAAAATTCAAAAACTAACTACTTTTTGTTTTTTCAGAGAAAGTATAGATGCAACAGTACTCTATATAGAAACTCAAGATTAATATAAGACTGGAAAAAGTGAGCTTGATACATTCCCTTTATACCCTGTAAAACAGTGAAAGGAGATCCTCACTTCTCGGTCTTGAAAAACACACCACAGCCATCCACATGTTTACGCTCCTGTTCTGACACGAGTTTGGCACGAGACTTTGGACAGAAAAATCCATCATATCCACGATCTTTCAGTGTTTCCAGAAAGAAAGTGTAGTACTGCTCGGTTTCCACCTCCTGTATATGAGAAATAGAGCAAACATATTGCAGATATCGAAACGGAACACACAAGTCGAGGAAAAAACTGTTTTAAAATGCATTTAACACTTTAGCATTATTGTTTCCCTACTTTTTATAGAAATTAGGCATGAAAGGTGCACTAACTAATGGTTAACTAACTAACTAACTCTGGTTTTTCCAGAATTTGCATTTAGTAAAAACCAATTGACTGAGCAATAATCCACTATAGTGATCAAAAGTGACAAATAAATACTTTTAAGTTATGAATGAATTCTATTTTGAACTAATGCTGTTTCTTAAGAAATATGTAAAAAAAAAAATAATAATAATATTTCAAAAAATTCTTTCAATATCTCACATAATTTGTTTGCTGTTTATCGGATCCAAAAAATATTGAGTATAACAAACTAAAATCCTTCCAACCCCAAACTTTGTACATTTTGATGACAGAACATACAGTCCTACCTGCAGGCTGATGATGTCAGCGTCACAGTTGGTGATCTCCTCCATAATGCCCTTCTTCCTGTACTCCCAGTTAAGGGCCCATGAAGGACAATAGCCATACAGCTGCCTTGTTGCATACTTGTCGCACAATACGTTGTAGCACATTACTGTGAACACAGCTTGGGAACACAGACATTTTATGTTTGCTTCACATTTGCTAAATCAGAAAAAAAAGCTGCTGACAGGATACTAGCAGGTACCTGTGGGCATCATTTGGTCTCTCTCCCTCAGAGTGATCCAAGGTCTTTGGGGGAGTTGTTCTGGGTGGACTAATTTTGAGGAAACCATGCAAGTAAATGAATCGATAATTATATGATTAGATTATCTGTATTCAATTAATCACTTACTCTGCATCTGCATGCATTATTACCTGCAAGATTGTCGAGCATGTAATTTAATAATTTCCTTGTTCCATCAGGCTCCTGATACAGGTTGAGTATATCCTGGGACAATGGATTACCTGGAAAATTAACATTTGTATTACTTGTATTTATATGGAAATTTATATTTATTTTACATTTTTATACAAAACATAAGCATATACACAAACAGTTGAAGGGATAGTTCACCTAAAAGTGAAATTTTCTATCATTATTTACACCCCAGTCACTTGTTTCAAACCTGTTTGTGTTTCTGTCTATCGTTGAACACACACACACACACACACACACACACACACACACACACACACACACACACACACACACACACACACACACACACACACACACACACACACACACACACACACACACACACACACACACACACACACAAATATTCTCAAGAATGTTGCAAAGCTACATTCTTCAACATATTTTCTTTTGTGTTCAGTTCATCTGACGAAAGCAACTCAAACAGCTGTGAAACAAGTGAATGGGGGAATAAATAATGATGATAACATATAAAAAAAATAAACACCCCTTTAAGTTCTTTCTAACTTGAATGAATCTGGGATATTTTCAAAGGTAACCTATTGTGCAAAAATCACTTTTATAAGAAGTCTGGGTCACACTTTACAATAAGGTTCATTAGTTAATGTTAATTAATGCATTTACTAACATGAACAAACCATGAACAATACATTTACTACTGTATTTGTTCATGTTATTAAACATTAGTTAATGAAAATACAGTAGTTCATTGTTAGTTCATGTTAACTCATGGTGCATTAACTAATGTTAACCAGCATGGACTTGGATGTTAATAATGCATTATTAAATGTTCAATTATGATTAATAAATGCTGTACAAGTGTTGTTCATGATTAGTTCATGTTAGTAAATGCATTAACTAATGAACCTTATTGTAAAGTGTTACCCAAGTCTAAACACACCCAGCTTCTAATTGTAAAATGTAATTAATCCATTATAATCACACTTGATAAAAACAGTCTGCAGCAACACTTTAATTGACCTTCTAACTTTGTACATGTCATCAGAGGGGGAAAGCCCCAACCATTAGTGGCAATCTCTCCCTCATTAATCTAGACAGCCCTGAGTAAGAAGCAATCGTCCGCTTTTAAATTTTCACACTGTACCTGCTGAATTTAATGTTAAGTAGAATTATAAATAAGCTTTAGGATGCACAAAAAGTCTCTAAAAGACTGCCTTCTTCTAAGACACTTTTGACCTTTTCAGTTTTCACAGAGAAACATTTAGTCCTGTTTTGAATCTAACACTATGTGGATTCTGAATAGAGGGCAGGGAGAACCATCACCTTTGAATATAAGGTGACAGTCAACAAAATAGTACAATTTGGATAAAAAAAAAAATCAAATACGTTTGTGCTGAAACTTTAGCTTAACACTCTAGGGACATCAAATACCTTTTTTACATCTAGTAAAAAGGGCATAACAAGTCTTTTTAAAATGGGAGATCACATGCACAACTGTAGTCATTTACATAAAACACATAGAAAGCATAACTACGAACTCAGCAGAAACTTTCCTTTAAAGGTCACCTATGATGAAAATCATCTTTTGCAAGCTTTTTGGACAGAACTGTGTAGGTATAGTGTGTCCACAGTCATACTGGGGTGATATAAATATTTTGAAATTTCCTGACGTTAAAATAGGATCAAAATCCCTCCCATTTTGAGGCCGACTGCAACGTGACGTGGGAGTGCAGCTTTTCCGCCCACCGAATTGATTGACAGGCACACTACGACAGGCACGTGAGAATGGTGGGTGGGGAAAACTAGAATTTAAGGCACAGGCACCAAAAACAGCTACATAGTGTTCAGAGCAGAAAATTCTAATGTTCTAAGGGCTATAATGAAAGCTGAAAATTTATACACATCCTGGAGTCACAAAAGACTTATCTAAAATCTTATAAAATGGTTAAAATAAGTGCCCTTTGAATCGTTTATTCATTCTTGTCAAACACATGCCGTCTTTTACAAATGCAGTGTGCATAAAACAATAAAGCTATTTTAACAGATGGAGCATACAGAGCTCTCGTTAGCCAGCTCTACATGCATATAAATCTGTGTTGAAACCTCACAGCTCTATTTATAATGAAGCTTCTCCTACCTTAAACAATATTAATCATGTTAAATTTAAAGGATTTAGATTTAGAGTCTGCATGAACAAAAAGTTGCTGTAAACTTTTATGTCAGTGTTTTTATTTATTTCCAACTGAAATAAAGTAATAAGTTGTGGGTGGGGTTTTATTTATGTGCTCCTCCTCTTATCTTTCACTCGCAGTAAACTAATACTTGGAAGGGCGTTAGATGTGTAAAGGGCACAATTTACACATCTATGCATTTAGCAGATGCTTTTATCTAAATTCAATTAGATCCAAATTCACTTAGATTTAATCCCTGTTTCGGAACAAATGAATGGATTCACAGGTGTGAAAGCACCCTAAATATTAATATAAGGCCATTCCAGAGTAAAAGCAAATGGGTAGATTTTGATTAAATAAATTAAATTGCTCAAATTAGGTGTTTATGTTAAGATTACTGATGAGCTAAAGCAAAACAAACACTGTACATTTTGAGTTGATGCAGACTTTAACACTGATTTGGTGATCTGATCTGCCAAGGGTTTGTGGTTTATACGTTAGTGTGATTTCAGTTTTTGCAAAAGCTTTGCAGATTCTGAACAAATATTTATTTAAAAGTATTAAATAATCAAGATTTGTTTGTGAAAATGTTTGTGAAAATGTTATTGTTTTAGGCTATATAGAAAAAATTGCATGCTAATTGATCATTGGGAAAAAATCTAAATTAATAAAAATTAATAAAATAATAATAAAAAGCTTCACCTTTGAGGCCGAGGGTTTGCAATTGGAACAGCCGACCAAGTTCATAAGGCAAAACTCGTAAACAATTGTTGTTCAAAAGCAATTCCCTGAAAGAAAAAAGATCATATAACAAGATGTCTGTGTAGTGTAGCCCAAATAAATCCTTTAAAGAAGCACTATTAAGTACTGCTGAGTAACTACATCCTACTTGATTTATGAAAAAAAAAACACTTTTAGTCTATTTTAAATCGTTGAAATATTTAGTATTGATGTTTTGATGTAACCCAAAAATAATTATTTTTTCAAACACCAACTGTCTTTAACAACTTAAAATAATGTTGATGTTGTTGTAGTTAAGTTTAAAGTTTTAAATACGTAATAAAACATTTAACAGCATAATTTCATGACTACCTTTTTTCAATTCAACTTTCAATTCAAGATGAGGCTGAATACAAAATAAAAATAATTCCATAAAAGATTCAATTTCATAAAAAAATACATAAAATACACAATTATTGTAAAACTACAATTTCTTTTATCTAGGTTTATAACAAACTTTATCCAAAACAAAACCAAAACAAAAAACAACAAAACAAAACAAAATCACTGTCCACGGCATACAAATTGGGCAGTCCAAAATGTAATAATGCTGAAAGGTCAACTACCTAATTAAACAATCTTATTTAGCCAACAGAAATGGAGTGATTTCAAATGTACCTGAGAGTCACCATGTTGCCGAGTTCTGCTGGCAGGCTGCGCAGTTTGTTGGAGGACAGGTTCAGGTAGACGAGATGGGGCAGCTTTGCGATTTCTGGAGGAATCCGGCTCAGGTTGTTGTTGTTGATGTGGAGAGCAGTCAGATGGGTCAGCGTCCATAGTGAACTGCTCAGGCTTCTGACCCGCCCTATACCATCAAAACACAGACCGACATTAGGTAGACTATATAGATGTTCTAGACTGCTGTCACTCCACATAATTCCACATATAATATGTAAAATTTTGCGTCTACTGTACTTTTATGCAAATATTGCAATTTTATCAAGATAACGGTAAAGTTCTTTTAAAGGGATGATTGATGAGGATTTCACTTATTTATCCTAAGTTAGAGTGTAATGTTACTGTTTAATCATATTCAACATCTGCAAAGATAAGACAATCAATAATTTTTTTTTTAAAGAATTTAATTTTTATGGTCTACAACAAATAGCTGGTAGGAACTACAATGATCTTCTTCCTGGGTTTGTGACAACATTTTAAAAACCTACTACAATGGATGTGATGTTTCATCCAATATGAACTAGGTAAGGGCAGCCTACTAATTTATATTATAATGTAAAACACAGAGAAGTGACAATAATAACTTACCAGAAATCTCCAACTCGGTCCAGTGTGATTTCTTTCCACTGGCCACTTCCTCGGCTGACATGATGGTGTATAATCTGCGTGGGTCTGGAGGATCATATTTTTCCTTTGGCATGCCTGTTAATCTGGAGATCCATGCAGAAAATGAGCGATTAGTCAAGAGTTTCTCCCAGATACAGCATGTCATTCAGGTCATTTTTTCCAAAAACAAATATTCAAACAAAGAATCATCAATAATGAGAAAAAGCTGGATGTCTGATATGCGAGTAATTGGCAGTGTGACCGTTGATGTAATGACACTTCAGAAATGCTTAACATAATGCAAATCAGACAACAAACATATCAGCTCTCATCCTTTGCACTTGTGTGTGTGTGTGTGTGTGTGTGTGTGTGTGTGTGTGTGTGTGTGTGTGTGTGTGTGTGTGTGTGTGTATGTATATATATATATATATATAAAATAAATAATATTATAATAAATATAAATAAATATTGCGATATGGGATTTTTTCACAAGATAAACTGAATAGCACTATTTTATGGTTTTCTACTAAGTCTAACAGTATTCAGGTACAGAAATTTTTGTTTTCAATTTCAATTTTACTTTTCAAGTTTTTCCTTAATACAAACAAAACTATCTGTAAGTGGGGCAAGTTAAATAACCTTGTTTATGTTTTGAAATGTAGATATTTGAACAAGAAACGAGAAAAAATTTCAAAGTAATATATATATACTTTATAAACTTGGAATATTCTTTCAGCAGACCTGTTTAAGATGTTTATCAGACCTTTAAACACAGCAGATGTTTTCCAGACCAAACAATCTTAAAAAAAAAAAAACATCTTGCAGATGTATGTGCTAAGTGGGTTTTGGTAAATAAAATCATTTAATCATCTGCTTTAACGAGATATATATACACACATTCTCTGACTTTCTAATACAAAAATTATGTATCCACGCTTTCAATTGAACTAAGATTTAAGATTTTTAACAGACTTTCTATTTGGAAATAAAGATACATCAAAAACAACATTTAATAAAATAAAAAAGGTTTCCCATTGTTTTCTACACTATTGTCTATTCTATATTCTTCCTCTGAAGGTAAAGTCAATTATTTTTTTTAAACAATCTAGTGTGCTGATTTGATGATCAAAATAAAGTTAATCATGATACATTTATTTTCTAAATTTTAAAAAGTTTAGCATTCATTTGAAATAAATCTTTTGTTACATTCAGTAAAGGATTAGTTCACCCCTAAAATGAACATTATGCTATTAATTACTCACAAAAACAATGTCATTCAAAACCCTGCACACCTACAGTACATGCATCTTCAGAACACAAACTAAGATGTTTTAGGTTAAATCTGAGAGCTCCCTCAACCTCCATAGACACACATTCAAAGTTTAGAAAAATACCCCAAAACCCCACAAAGCAGACCATATGCTAGGGGTTAAATCTGAATAATCAAACTTCAAACTTTTGTACGAACAATAACCCAAATAACATCTTTTTCAACAGTTTCTTCTCTGTGTCAGTAAGGTAAATATATTCATTAGCACAGTGCAGTGCTTTTTGGGCAAACTAGCCATTTAGTGTTTTTGCTGTCACTTTGTGATCATTTATGTGTCTTTACTGAAGAAAAATTAATTATAATAAATAAATATATATATTTGTGTGTGTTTTTAAGGCCTAGACTGTAGGAATTTGAAGCACACTTGAGCCACATGTGCACAATAAATCAAACTTAGCTAATGAAAAGATTAATTGAACATTATATAATTACTTAATTAAAACAATACAGTGTTAACATTATTATTATTATACAGTGATTATTTCTGCTTCAGAATATTGCTGGACTCCCAAAAAAATAATAAATTATTGTTTATTTGCATCTTTTGTCTATTGTGTTTAACTATGTGTGTCATTTTTAAATCATATTTTATGCAGATAAACTCCCAGAATAATCCCAATCGATCTAAAAATATAATTTTTTTACAAGCTGTTGAAGTCATACAGTGAAATTGCATTTATATTACAATATATACCGCAGTGAATTACTTTATTGCAAATCAAATGCAGTTTTTTTCCAATTTCATGCAGCCCTAATATATATAAATATATATACATCTAACTCCAACCTTTTGCACAATATTGTATATCTTTTTTTCTAGAGAAAATGGGCCAGAGCAAGTGATCCTGAGTGTTTTCTGATAGAGCGACAGTCAGACAGACAGCTGATGTTTACTCTGAGACGCTGAACTGTTGGAGTAGTTGATATCTCTCATGCTGAGCCAAAACATTGCGGCAATCTAGGGCACTTACAGAGTTTAACTAAGTTGAACTTTTAGAGACGTTGAAGACGTTTCTTATCAACTCATTTCAGCTGTAAAAGCATGAAAGCAAAACCGCCTATTAATAGGTAAAGCCACCAACAAGAGCTTTTAAATGCCTTATTTGCCGTGTATACAGAAAAAAAATAAACACATGCGCCACCCTGTAATCATTTGGTTGCAGCTGTTACATACAGACCAGAACATACTGCCAACTCTCTCAGCCGTCTGGGTAGAACATATCCTACTTCTGTTCGTCAATGTTTTCTTACATGCAGAACTTCAGGGTGATTTCGTTTAAAATTAACTTTGAACTAGCTGTCATTTCATATTGTTTCATTTTGTATCAGTCACTAGACTACAGTAATGCACAGCAATAATGAGACCCCCAAAATAACAATGCCAGTGACTCGTGACCCCCAATATCTTCTGAGGTGGTTATCAATACAAAAACCTTGCATGCAATGGTGCACACACACCAATAGACCCAAGTCTATTCTTTGTTGCATTTTTTTATGTATGACAAAGCTGTAAATGTGGCAGAAAGTTTAACCTGGTGCTATAAAATTAATCTGCTGCATCTGACGCCATTGATGTGTCTTTAATATAATGTAATTACACCAGGGGTCGCGATCCAATAGAACTATAAACTAAGATAGTAACTATTTACAGTACTATATAGTAACTATAAACGCCTATTTTTTTCTTTTCAGTAGGTTGTAGATAAAATATGGTAATTCTTATTGTTTAGTAACAATAAATAGACTTGAAAATCACCAGACGACCCCCATTCATTGTCTCGCGACCCCCACTTTGAGAACCACTGCTGTACAGTAGACATGTGTGATTTAATATATTGATATAACCAGCATGCATGATATTGACAAGTCAAAATACAGAATAATCATTTATTATTTAACCTCTGACTTACTCTCAAGCGTTTTGAGATCCGTGTATTGTCATTTGCTTCATCACAACACACCAAATGTTTGAAGACTTAAGAAGGCATTTATTTTTAAATAATTACATCCGAGATATTGATTGAAAATGTTCTGATTTTTTATAGGCCTTTTGCTGTACATTCACAATAAGGCTTCATCTGTTAACATTAGTTAACGAAACCAAACTGATGATGAAAACTAATTTTAAAGCATTTATTAATCTTAGATGATTTTGATACATTAATGTTTAGTAACTATTAATTTTAGATTTTTTAAATCAATTTTAATTTTAGGAATTTTAAATCTTGATTGTAATTAATGCATTATTACCACTTATTAATGAGACCATAATGTAAAGCTGACCTTTTTTACTTTAATAATATAGGTCCTGTTAGAGCAATACACAACTTTTTATCATTTATTACACCTGCTAAAGTGGTCTAATCCTTTTGTATGTTATGGCTATACCATCTTTATACTATTGTGATAAAAGCTTCAGCAGTTATGAAATAATAAAATCTGATACAGTAATGTGTATTACATTTATTGTGTATTACGTGTGCACTTATGTTTTCTGTTCACTGTTGGGTGTGTTTTTTGTAAATTCTGCTATCTGCAACTGTCACTAAACCGAAGTGTTCATAAAAGTTGTCAGGCTGAACATTGTGGTGTGTAATATGCAAATGAGCCCTGGCAGCTGAGGCTTTACGTAACCCTCATTTAAAGTTACTAAGTAACTTCTATGAATAAAACAAACACAATGTCTGAACTTTACCTTCTTGCACGTGCTGTTAAAACTCGTCCTCGAAGTGTCGTGGCGTGTTTCGCATTACAGCGAGTCACCACAGTTGTCAGCTACTCAAATAGCGGGCTTTGTTATGTAAGGCTATTATTAGCTGTTCTTGTCTGCGCAGTGAAGGCAAAAAGTTTTGATCTCTTAAACATGGGTGATTTAGATGAAATAAGTTTAGCTGGCGAGCTGAGCTGACAAGCAGAACATGACAAGCAGGAGCAGGTCTGGCCATGTCACCCGCTCCAGCTCAGAAGGTCCTCGGCATCTCCAAATACGGTCATGTGTAAATCAGCACAAACGATGAGGCGCGCAGTAGGTTGAAACACTGTTCTCTCGTGTTTATTAAGTTACAGTTCACACACATTATTGTCTCAGCTGATCTTCAGAAGGCAGAGCTGGAGACGTCAGGCGTTTTTGACACTCAACGATATAAGCAACGCAAAACACCACTCCGAAATGCAGTTGGTCAGTTCTTACCTGCATTCGGGAGGTGGGAGAGGAGCTGCTGGTGTGTGATTTGATCAGAGACATACAGACAAACTGTGACCGATCCTCATCCTGAGAGTCGGGCAGGAGGAAGGACAACAGTCTGAGCTTCCGCTCCAGTCCACGCTCCCCTACAACTAGGGATAGGTGGTCGACTCATTTTGACGAATCGGTTCTTTCGAACGAACAGTTCAATAAACATATTTGATTATATATTGATATTATTTTCTTTAAAATATAAAAAACTAGATTACCTTGAGTTGTAAATACTATAATATGTACACTATAATACACCTTTCTATAATGTGGTTTGAAAACACTATATATTTACTATGCATAGACTATATATTTATTTATATATTTTTTATATTCTCCTAGATATACATTTTTACACATAATAAAAGGCTATTAATTTAGTAATCGCCGATGTCCTATTCAAGTCGTAGGCTCTGAGTTTGCCTTAAACATTTTTTTTTTATTTTGCTATCGGACAGTCCTGAAAGCTGGTGGTCGGTTCAGTGTATTTGGTGACTCGTTAAGTTCGGTTCAATGGTTCAATCGAGTCATTGAAAAGATCCGACTTAAAAGATTCATGAAATTCTCTAGTGGTTGTGAACACTGCTCTTGTGATTTAAGTTTTCATTGTACGCTTACTAAAACACACGAAATATTTGTATTTATTAATTAAATGACGAATAAATTGTACATTTTTGCAGTTTCTATATTTAACGCGCAACTTTTAGATATTTCATGCAAGGTTGCTCAAATACTTAGTTTAAACAAGTTATATAGTTTAAACTAAACATAACATATTTATAACTTGAATTTTTTTTTACTAAACCCTCTTATTGATATTTCTGAGTTGGAACGATTAAACGGAGGTTCAGGGTTTCAGACGGGAAATTTAAGTGTAACACACAAATTTATCAACATGGCTGCCCCCGCGAGGAGTGTTTTAAGAGGTCAGTTTTAATCATTGCAAAGAATTTTACTTATAATCTCTTAATGTCAGTGTATTTTCCCACGTTGTTTACACGTGGAATCTGTGCTTATTTTTTTCAGCCTACGAATAAAATACATTGTTGCGTCGTTTATATATAAAAGCTATCAAATGGATTACGATCTCTTTTAGTCGTGCTTTTATGAATTAAAGAAGTCTGTCTGTATAAAGCATAAACTATACTCACACGAGTGAAATATCAAATAGGACTTATAGACAAAAAACAGCCATCTGCCAATTTGTGTATTTATATTTTTGCTTGAGTTGGTCTTTGTAACTACATTACTAGTAAGTTAGAGTTGATATTTAAAATTGAAATAATCTAATTTAATATGGGTTTTTTATCAATCTACATAAGAAGCATTAAAAATATTATTTAAGTAACTGATGGCAGTGTCTTAAGGTAACTGGTTAGTTAAAAACGATCATTGATATGTCCTTTAAGCCAGTTATCTTATTTCTACAATAATTGTGTGTCTTAACAGTATTACCCAGATGTCAGAGTCTGTTGTTCACAAATAGAGCTCCTTCTGTCTCCTGCAACTCACTGACTGCACACCGGCAACAGTCTGCCAGGTCCTACGCTGCTACAAAGTGAGTTCAGTTTAAACTTGTAAATGTTGAGACACTTGACAAACTTTGAAACTATTCAAAGAAGAATAACCAAAACTCCTTTTGTAGGAAAAAGGAGAAGAAAGAGGAGGCTGTTAAGGAAAAAGTGGTGAAAGAGAGACAAATTATTGATGACAAAGACAGACATAAACCATTTGGACTCACAGCCTGGGCTCCAGTAGATGATGTGTACATGGTGAGGTATTATCCCAGACCTCTCTATGAGTTAACTGTGGCTATTGACATGCTGAAGAGCTTTCAGAAGCTGGACTTCAGTGCTGAAAACCAGCCTATCTACATTAACCTACGCCTGAACATGAAGCTGGAGAAAAAGGTACAGTTTCATTGATTTCTAAAAGCCGATTTTAACCTAAGTATTTGTTTAAAAGGATGCATTCACTGTTAACTTTATATCTTGGAAAATGTTAAGTATTTTTGAAATATTTGCAGTCTGCAAAATAAAAAAAAATAATAAATGTACTTGATCAGAAATACAAGAAAATCAGATTATAAAATGCCATTGCACTTTTTTGAATCATAAATTATTTATAATTATAAAGATACATTTTAATCTGCACATAATTCAGTGTCAAATCACATGATTTTCAGAAATTATATATACATATACACACACACACACAGTTGAAGTCAGAATTATTAGCCCCATGTTTATTGTTTTCCTCAATTTTGTTTAATGGAGAGAAGTTTTTTAAGCACATTTCTAAACATAATAGTTTTAATAACTCTCTAAAAACTGATTTATTTTATCTTTGATATTTTTCAAGACACTTCTATACAGCTTAAAGTGACATTTAAAGACTTAACTAGGTTAATTAGCTGAACTAGGCAGGATAGGGTAATTAGGCAAGTTACTGGATAACGATGGTTTGTTCTGTAGACTATCTAAAAAAAAATAGCTTAAAGGGGCTAATAATTTTGACCTTAAAATGTTTTCTAAAAAAATTAAAACTGCTTTTATTCTAGCCGAAATAAAACAAATAAGACTTTCTGCAGACTGTGAAAGTGTTATAGTTATAACAAATACTTCAATGAACAGAACATTAAACGCTGACATTGTTTTTGTTTCAGAGAAAATTGGATCCGTTTGTTCGCACAATTCATTTACCACATCCTTTCAAGAGTGACATCAACAAAGTAGTGGTCTTCACTGAGGTGGGAGCATCACTTTTACATTAAACAATAGATGGCATGTCTTTGACTAAACTGATTTGGTCTTCTAATGTATCACACAATTTTACATTCATTAATCATAAAAATAATAAAAATCTGATTTTACAGAAACCAGATCAAGCCAGAATAGCGATAGAGAATGGAGCAGCAGTTGCAGGAGGAGTCGAGCTGTTTGAGAAGGTAAGACCTTGCTGTCTGAGAATTGTAGCTTCTGTGTTGTCTAAAGTGCTCCTATTATGCTATATTGATGTTTCCTAATTTTGATTTGGAGGGCTCCTGCTAGCACAACCTATTTTCTCACACTGTTCAAATCGATACATTCAAGCATTTGGTTTTTTTAAACCCCTTATTAAGAGCCTGGTTTTCTCTGATTGGTCAGATTGTGGTCATGTAGGGGGCTTTCTTATTTCGTCTGTCTTTATCCTCCTTGTTAGAGCGCCTGCTTCCTATGCCAAGATCACAGATTCGAGCTCCGATTGGAGTGAGTGGATGGGTGTTGTTGGACCAGAGGTGTTACACTTGCATGCCAAAGTTTAAACTTTGCACTTTGAAATCGTAGTTTTGTTTTAGTGACAACTGAGTGACCATATATCATAAATACAATACAAAAGTCCAAATGAAATAAAGTGATATCTGCCTCCAACAAATCAGTTATGCGTGTCAGAATGCATAAATAAATCATTAGTGACTTGCTGTTTTGGTGCAACTACAAACTGCATTCTTTACACTTACAAATAGTTGCTGTTTTTTGTAGAGATATAATGAAAAATAGTTTGAGAAAAAATCGATTCTGCTTCGATTCAGACATTTTTATAGCACATCACCTGCAAAGTTTCTAAGTGCACCTAAAAAATCTAGTAACTAATGATTTCTTATTTTTGAGAGCCTGGTCTTCTCTAATTGGTCAGATGGTGGTCATGCATGGTGCTTTCACATTTAGAGTTGTCAGTCTTTATCCTCCTCGTTAGAGCGCTTGCTTTCTATGCCAGGATCACAGATTCGAGCTCTGATTGGAATAGGGGGATGGGTGTTGGACCAGAGGTGTTATACTTGCATGGCAAAGTTTAAACTTTGCACTTTGAAGATGTAAAATGTAGAAAATGTAGTGACTCATGCCTCCTTAATCATAAATACAATGCAATAGTCCAAATCAGTTGTTTTCTGTGGATATAGATCAAATGATCTCTGCTTCCAGCGAGTCAGTTTTGTGTGTCAAAATTCATAAACAAATCAGTAGTGACTTGATATTTTTGGTGCACTTAGAAACTTTGCAGACTTTACACTTTTACAAATAGTTGCTGTATATTGCAGAGATATGATTAAAAGTTGTTCGAGAAATCGAGTCTGCCTTGATTCAGAGATTTTTAAAGTACATCACCATCTTCTAGAATGGATTCTGAGCTTAGTTTTTTTTAAACAGCAGATGGCGCTGTATGGTTTACAAACAGCTTGACTTTCCATAGATCCACACAAATACAACCTGAGCCTAAAGTAATTATTAATAAAGTTATAACAAGACAGGGTTTAGCGAATATTAAGTGTTCGTAGTGAGCTGTGTTTACTTTAATCTCGTGTAACAAAAAATGACTTGCAGTTCTTTGAGCGTACAGTTTAAAAACTAACCTAGAGCGCCATCTGCTGTTAAAACTTAGCTCAGAATCAATTCAAGAGAGAAAAAGATCTAAATAAAGGCTACATCGATACCTCAAAGGATTTTTCACTAGAGCTCTAGTATATAGCACAGTACATTGGATGCTTTATACCAAAAACCATTAGGCGTGCACTTTAGGTGTTTGATTGTGTAAATAAATCTGTCTACACACTATTTACTCTGAGTTTAGCCTGTGCTTTGGCTACCTCATGATAATTGTTTATTGAAAAAGAGCATTGCTGTTGTTTTTGCAGTCACTCATTTACTTTGTGTGCTTTTTAATCTATGTTAATTGCAGATTTTAGCTGATGAGATCACAGCAGATTTCTACTTGGCTGAGCCAGACATCCTACCAAAGCTGGTCCCTTTGAAGAACAAGCTGAGGAAGAAGTTTCCAAAAAGCAAGAGAGGTCAGTGAGTTTCCTACTTCATGTATCATGCATGTGCTTTTAGTTGTTGTGTTCTATTAATGTTAAATTGTATGCTTGGTTAATGTTTTATGTTCTTTTAATTGAGTCATTGTGTTTCTCACATCAGGAACAGTTGGAATAAATATTCCCAGAATGCTTGAGCTGTTCAAGACTGGTCATGAATATATGGTTGAGGACATCTATGTTAACACAGAAGTTGCAACGGTAAGTCAGATTGAGCTGTTCTGACTGGTATATATTTTCCTGTATAATAA